TTTTTTTTTTTTTTGAGATGCAGTCTTGCTCTGTCGGCCAGGCTGCAGTGTAGTGGTGTGATCTTGGCTCACCACAACCTCTGCCTCCCAGGTTCAAGCAATTCTCTGCCTCAGCCTCCCGAGTAGCTGAGATTACAGGCGTCCACCACCACGCCCAGCTAATTTTTGTATTTTTAGTAGAGATGGGGGTTTCACCATCTTGGCCAGTCTGGTCTTGAACTCCTGACCTCGTGATCCACCTGCCTCGGCCTCCCAAAGTGCTGGAATTATAGGCGTGAGCCACCATGCCTGGCCGAAGACCCTTTTTAAAGAGACGTCATGCAGTGTTGGGCTAGCTGGTCCTTCTGCTGTGTGATGATGCGGCAAGAAGGTCCTCACCAGACCAGATGCTGGTGCCTTGATCTTGGACCTCCCAGCCTCCAGAACTATGAGGAATAAATTTCTATTGTTGATAAATTACTCAGTCTCAAGTAGTTTATTGTAGCAAGACAAAATGCACTAAGACAGATAGTGAATCTAGGAATGGACTCCCAAGAGAGGCTTGAGACTATCTCTTGTTGGAGTTTTCTGACACTGGGAAATCTGACATCCGAGGGCGCCTCATTGGAAGTCTGAGTGAGAGATTTACACAGACTCCCCTGAGAGGGCTGTTTGTGTTTCAGCAGCAACACTGCCCTGCATCTAACAGAGTCTCCTCCCTGGGTCCACACATAGAAAATGTCACCCCTGTCTGTCAGTTTCCTACAGAGACCTGGGAAAAATAGCAGAAAGCCCAGCCTCAGATTTGGATCCCACTGGTAGGACCTAGGAGTATGGTCGGTGGTGGTGCGGGGGGAGGGTGGGTATCTGCTCTCTGCTCCGCTCGACTCCATTCTGGTTGTCAAAGCCATCTGTCTCTCAAAAGCAGTGGAACAGAGGGCCAGAGCCTGGTCCCCATGATTTCCTGCTTGTCATGGTTTGCTTCCTTCTAGCGGATGCCATGTAGCCAGGAGGCAGAGTGCAGGCCACCCTAGGTGGCTGGGAGAGGTTGGCAGCCAAAGCTCGGTGGCCTTGCTGCCGCTTCAGAGGATCTGGGCATGCGGGTTAGGGACTTAGGCAACTCGTTTAACCTCCCTGTATCCCAGTTCCCCAACTCATGAATGGATCTTTTAATCATTGCCATAGAAGGATGCTGTGAAAGTCAAACGAAAGGAGAGCGCTGGGAAATGCCTACCTTGCATATACTTATCAAAACAGACTGAGGCCAGCTGCAAAGGAGCGTGCCGTGGGAGGGCTGGGGCTATATTTTTGAGCTAGAAGAATAAAATGACAGCAGTTTTAGAAAGAGGGGGAAGCAAGTCACCCTATCATTCTGACAGTGTCTCTTGATGATAAAAATGGAACAGGCCCGAGGGAATACTGACATTTTTGTATGCCTTTGTTTTCTTTTTTTTTTTTTTTTTTCTCGAGCTCGGAGAAGCACCTCCCACTTCACATGCCTTCCTCCTCCATCACTTACAGCTGAGAGCCCAGGATGAGGGAGTGCTACAACGTGGTTTTTCTTTATCACCTCCTCCCTCAGTCTAGCTCTCTGCATTCGCCGCCCCTTGGCTCTTCTGTGTCATGTGGCTGAAGCTGTGGGGTCTCTGCAGGGGAAATGTTTTCCCAGAAAGTGTTTAGGGGTGGATTCGAGGCTCCCGATATGTCTTAGGTCCCTGAGTGGGAATGAATTGTGCCCAGACCAACCCTCCTGGCAAAGACTGGAGATCCTGGCAAAGATCCCTTGGGCAGCATTTTCACGAATTCAGTGCTTCCCAAATGCCCTGTGTGTCACTTGCCCAGTTACTCTTCTGGTCATTCCCCTCCCAGAATGGAGGAAACATTTTTCACCTCCACCCCACACCCACCTTCCATATCCATAACCTCCTCTTTCCCATGTCCAGATTTAAGGGACAGTCAGTGGAGTGGGGAGTGGTTGGAGAGAGGCTGAGATGATCATCTGATAGCAGCTGAGAGGCGAGAGGGTGAAAGAAGAGCAGCTTCAGCTGGCAGCCAAGCAATTGAAGGGATTGGTGGAGGTCCTGGAGCTGAGCTCCTGATGAAATTCTGTGTTCTTCTGCTCTGAAGGACATTTTTGGGGTCCAGAGCTAGAGGAGAATGGAGAGGAAGGATTGGCTGTGACATCAGCCTGTGGATTAAACAAACAAGCAACAGATTTGCTGTGGGTTTCCCTGAATTGAATTGCCTCTGATAATCTGGTCTTGAACAACTAGTTCCCCCAGGGTTTAGAGTACGCACCTCATCTACTGCTTGAACCCCCTAAACGGAAGTAGCAGACCAGCAAGGGGTGGGCTTTGAAGTCAGAGAGACCAGGATTCCATACCTCATTCTGTTCCTTACTATTGTGTGCCTGCTGGCAAGTCCCTTAGCCCTTCCGGACCTCACTTTCCCCATCTAAAGAGGAGAATAATAAGGCAACTTACCATATAGTGTTGTCGTAGAGATTCAGTGAGACAATACCATGTAAAGCAGCTGGTACCCAGTGCATAGGGCTTAACAAATTATTGCTAATGCTAACGCTGTTAGTATGATTGCCACTACCTACTCTGAAACGACTTATTTGACTTCCCACGAAGTTAATTGCTCCCTCTTCTGTGTTACTCCAGCCCTGTTTACGACCTTGATCTTTTTTTTTTTTTTTTTTTTTTTTTGAGACAGGGTCTTGCTCTGTCACACAGGCTGGGGTGCAGTGGTGCGATCTCGGCTCACTGCAACCTCCACTTCTGGCACAACCCTCATCTTGCTGTCTGATCGTTGTCGGGATGGCTTTCTCCCTGGGCACACTGTGCAGTCTCCGGGGCCAGGCTCTGTGCTTTTTTGCCATTACGTTGTTCTTAATCCCTAGCATATATCACAGGAGCTAGGATGAGTGGGCAAATGGGTCAAAATATCTGAGATCATGGTCTGTTTCTGCAAGCAGGCTAAGAAACTTTCCCCATAGGCTCTTTACCTGTTGGTGTAAAGCCCTTTTGGGCAAAGCCCCGCCTGGGCTCACCTGGTCGGTAAACATTGATTCCGTAGTTCCATTTGGCTGTGGTGACTCAGCACTTACAGGCTGGCCAGCTCCTTGTGGACTGGGGCTCTGTGAGTGTTTCCCAGGCCCCACACTACCAAGTCGGGGCAGCTCTCTCTTCTCTGACCCATAAAGCCAGGCCAAGCTCCCCATTCCCCCTGTGAGCACCAAGCTCATAAACCTATTTGTCCTTTGCCTTTCTTTCCTCTTTCCCTAGCCTTACCACAGCCATTCAGGAAGTAGTTATTAAGCACCTGCTATGTACAGGGCACCAGACCATATACTTGAGCCCTTGATCACATACTATCTTATATGACTTGAGTTATGTAATTTGGGCTCCCTCAACTAGACTGTAAGCTCCTAGAGGGCGAGGGAGCGTGTCTTCTGCTGCTTCTATCTGCCTTATAGCACCTACAGCAGAACCCAGCACGGTCATGTGAGTAAATCCTTAGTGACTTGCCTTCTAGGCTCACGAGTTCAGTGTGAGCTCTTCAGGGAAGGATGAGAACAAGGACAATACAGCTCAGTCGGCTTTGTGGTCTCAGTATGGACCTAGTCTTGGGGCTCTTGCACGCCAGGGAGGGAGAAGGGCCAGTGATCTGAGACCCTTCGGTACTCCTTTATCCTCTCTATCCACACAGAACCCCCCTCATTCCACTTCCCCATCTTCCAAAGGCTCTTGCCCTCAGCAGTAACTATGAATAGCGAATAGCTTGGTAATCTGTGTGTCTGCGTATTATTCTGCTTATTTTCTCTCTTTGTTCCCTATGCATTCAGCTATGTCATTGTTACCCTCTATTGTGAATTTCTGAACAGCAGAAGCTTGGACTAGGCCTCTTATCCTCACATAGTTTGGGCACTTAATAAATGCTTGTTGGTGATGATGACAGTGAGGGACATTGCACGGTGAGGGTCTGGGGCCCCAGAGACCAACAGCAGTTGGGTTGTGTAACACTCAGTGCCTTTCCTCTGCAGTTCTCAGCTTTCGTTTGCCTTCGGTTTCAGGCCCACCTGCCGTTTGCTGTCATCGGCAGCACAGAAGAACTGAAGATAGGCAACAAGATGATGAGGGCGCGGCAGTATCCTTGGGGCACTGTGCAGGGTGAGTGAGTCTCCGGGAGAGGGGCTACATGCAGGAAACCCCTTTTGTCTGCCTCTTTGTTTGTCCCCAGCCACTATATGACAAGTTTCTAAAATGTCCCAAGTCTCTGCTCATTTGGCATGGGTCCCAAATAGCCATAGGGGTCACTAGGAAGCTAACTCTGGCTCCATACTGGGATGCCCTGATGGGAGCAAGCTTCCTCTGTCTCTCATGGGAAAAGTATTCCTAAACACAAAGACTTGCAAGGTAGGAAGGAGTGTGCGAGAAAGCCTGTGTTCTTGCCCAAGTGCACCAGGAAATGCACGAGAATATTCACAGTAGTGTTGTTTGTAATGACAAATAATTACAAACAATCCAGATATTCATTAAAATAGACTGGATAGGCCGGACGTGGTGGCTCACGCCTGTAATCCCAGCATTTTGGGAGGCCGGGGCAGGCGGATCACGAGGTCAGGAGATCGAGACCATCCTGGTCAACATGGTGAAACCCCATCTCTACTAAAAGTACAAAAAAAAAAAAAAAAAAAAAGACTGGATAATGGGAGGGTGGGAAGGGGGTAAGGGATTTTAAAAAACTACATATTGGGGCTGGGCGCAGTGGCTCACTCCTGTAATCCTAGCACTCTGGGAGGCCGAAGCGGATAGATCACCTGAAGTCAGGAGTTCGAGACCAACCTGGCCAACATGGTGAAACCCCGTCTCTACTAAAAATACAACAACAAAAAAAAAAGTCAGGCATGGTGGCATGTGCCTGTAGTCCCAGCTACTCAGGAGGCTGAGGCAAGAGAATCGCTTGAACCCAGGAGGCAGAGATTGCCGTGAGCTGAGATTTCGCCACTGCACTCCAGCCTGGGCGACAGAGCGAGATTGAAAAAAAAAAAGAAAGAAACATACCATTGGATTCCCTTTGTATGAATTCCAAAAGGAGGCAAAACTAAACAAGATATATATTTTTAGGAATGCATACATGAGAGGTAAAACTGTAAAGAAAACAAAGGAATGATACTCTCCAAAGTCAGGAGAGGGGTTAAGTCTCTGCCAGGGGAGTGGGGGGATAAAGGAGGATGAGATTGGAAAAGGGCACTCAGGGGCTTCCAAGATACTGGTAATGTTTAACCTGAGTTGTGGAGACATTGGTGTTAATTTTTCAAAAAGTCTTTAAATCGCACATACATATTTCATGCTCTCTTTTGAATGTATGATTATTTCACAATTGAAAAGCAATCAGACATATTGTATTACACTCAGGAAAGTTCCTTCTGGGATCTGCCTGACATATGTTAACTTACCCTCAGGGCTAGTCAGTTCAGTGCATAAGACAAGGCCAAGGACAGTGCTGTGGGTAGAAGAGGTCTTTGGTCCTGAGAGTCTACAGCTAGAAACCGGGCCGTGGCTGATAGGGGCATCGTGTGAAAGAGTGGCTGGTTCTCTGTAACCTCATCCCTACCACTGGGGAAACACCTGAAAGTGGGTGGCGGGTTGTCCGCATCACATACGAAGGCTGGCATGTTTTAGGACACCCCGCAGACCCACTGACAATAGCTGGATTTTCTATAGGTAGGACAAGACTGGTTATCAGAGCTGTGCTAAGTTCTGGTCTTCTCTGCTGTTCGGAGCTGGGGTTGCTCCACTAGGAACGTTTGCAAATGGTTTCTGGACCCACAGTCCCACCCTGGGAATGGACTTGTGGTCTGAGAAACAGGAACCTGAAGTGAGATGAGGAGAAGCCAGTAGACATGGTTCCAATGACTTACTTCATCTGACGTGGACTACCCTGAACCTAAACAATAAAGGGGGCTTTGAAAGTTTTTCTTGTAAGTCTAAGTTGACTGTTCTGCTTGAATGAGGAAGAAGTTGTATATTGCTTAGGTAGCCTGCAGGGGCCTTGGAGGCACTCCTTCTGACTCACCATCAGAGATCACTGTCCAGAGGTGGAGGAGGAGATGGCATATAGCATAGTACTGAGAAGTTGCATATAGCATAGTCCTGAGAAGTTGTCTTACTGATGTCATCTTTAATATTAGCCTATGTTCTATGACAGCAGGGGGCTTTATTCCTAATTCAGTGGGTCTTAAGCAGAAGGATTACGTGAGCTGATTCGGGCTTTGGAAAGACTGACGACCACAAGGCAGTCTGCTTCAACTACAGCTGACCCACTTATCCCAGGCCCCTCTCTGCCCCCACTACCCTCTTCCAGACTCTGCAAGACAGAATCTGGGGTGACTGCCTGCTCATCACTTCAGACACCATTTTTCCTACTTGTTCAGGCCAAATACCACCATCCGACACAGTGAAGCCATACCTGTAGCCACCTTGACAAAGTACTGCTTGTGACCTGGTCTAGCCAGAAATCGATTTTGCTATGACTTGGTCCACATCTGTCGTTCTTGACCACTGCCCAAAATTGCAGACCTTTGCTTGCACTCTTTTGAAGAGGGGACTTGTTCACACAGGCCAGAAAGTGGGGTCCCCTTGCTCCTAGTCACCATTGCTACTGTCAGGCCATTATCTACCCTCTAAAGAAACCACCTCCTTGGAAGCTTCTACCATCCAGGTGGGCCATGCCTGCGGTCCACACCCCTCCTTGTCACTGTCATCTATCAATATCCTAGTTCTTTCCCCTTATTATTTGGAGACTTTGTCACCTCCCCTACATTGCCTGGGTTTGAGCCCTAACTCTGCAACTTACTAGCTACATAACCTTGCCTAACCTCATTGACACCTTGCAAACACCATTCCCTTCTCTGGCTGATAAATTACTATTCTTCCTTCCAGAGTCATCTTAGGGATTTTCTCTTCGGTGAAGTCTTCACTTTCCCAGGAGCTCTTAGGCCCCCCTCTTCTGAGCTTTATTGCCACTTGGCTATCCCTCTGTTTTTGTAGTTTTGCACTGAATTGTATTTGTCTATTTGCATCTATTCTTCCTCTAAACTGTAAGCTCCTGACAGCAAGATTCCATGACTTCGTTTCTGAATTCCCAGTGCCTCACACAATAATGGGAACAGAGATTCCACAAATATTGATTGGATGGATGGATAGATGGATGGATGAATGGGTGGATGGATGGATGGATGGATGGATGGATAGATGGATGGATGGATGGATGGATGGATGGATGGATAGATGGATGGATGGATGGATGGATGGATGGATAGATGGATGGATGGATGGATGGATAGATGCATATGTGCTGTTGTCCTACAAGTGGTGTAGACCGAACATTCTTTTGAAGGTCTGACTGCTGAATTTAGATTGTGGTGCTACTGACTGTCTTAACAAGTATTTTTATGGTATCACCATTTTTCATTACTGGCATTTTTGTAACCTTTCATTTACATTTTCAGTAAAAAAGAGAGGAAGTAAATTTGCAGGATCTAAATACACAGATTGCAAGGCAACGTCACTGTTAGACATTTTGCCTCTCGTTTCATCCATTTCTGCTTCCGCTGGCCTTCCTTTCAACATACTTTCAATACCCCAAACCCTGCTATGCAGTTGAAAACGAGGCCCACTGCGACTTTGTGAAGCTGCGGGAGATGCTGATTCGGGTCAACATGGAGGATCTGCGGGAGCAGACCCACACCCGGCACTATGAGCTGTATCGCCGCTGTAAGCTGGAGGAGATGGGCTTCAAGGACACCGACCCTGACAGCAAACCCTTCAGGTACCACTCCTGCCAGCCCAGTCCAGCCCAGCTCAGCTCAGCCCACCCAGGTGGTGTGGAAGCCTTCCCCTGGAGAATTCACAGGGGAGGCGAGACACGGGTGCTAAGACCTCGAGGAGCAGGGGCGGCTCACTTGCCAGTTCTGCTTGCCTGTTCACCCTTCGCCACTGCACACCTGCCAGGAGAGCTGTGGGGCGCAGGCTTGGGAAGTACTGCTGCCTTGCTTTGAAGGGCAAGGGAAGGGAGGAGGCCCAGAGGACCAGCAAGGCGGATCACCACACACACATGCACGCATCCGTGACAGCTCCAAGCAGCTGCGCTGGAGGGGATCCCCAAGCTGGGGCCCTGTTCCACGGGGTGGCAGTTGGTAACTGTCCTCTGCCCCTCTTTCTTCATCAGGCTCCTGGCACTCAGACAGGTTCTTTACCCATTTCCCCATTCTGAAACCCAGATAGGACCAGGTAGCGATCCCTTGCCATGCATCGATGAACTGCAGGCTCTTCAATTGCTGTTCTTAGTGTCTGCATTCAAGTGCAAGTTCTGTTTTGACCGCAGGATGTTAATCATCATTGGCATATTTCTTAAATCAGAATGCTTTTAGAGAAGGGAAATGTTTTTGAAAGCAGGTTATTATGCAGAGAGGAGTGATGCACCAAGTAGAAGTGTCTGATCTATATGTGTGATGTGTGAAATAAGCTCCACAGTTGAAATTACCACGTGGTGCCCTTTATGGTGGTCAGGCACTAATAAGCAAGTGAGGGAGATGTCTACCGGTTAAAAAGGCTTTCAAAGAGCCTCTGAGATCTTACACTACCTGTTCACAGCCTAAAGCTGGCCTGGAGTCAGAGCCTAACCAGTCCCTTGGGGATACTTGCTTCAGAAAGGATAGGCTCATGCCCTATACTGACAGGTGGGGCCAGGGGCCACTGGAGCACGTGGGGCTGGGGGAAGCCCTGCTTGTCTCTTTCTGGTGGGAGCCCCCTGGCTCTCTTCCCCACCTGCAGCTTTCATCTGCATTTGTAGAGGAGTAGGTGTGCCTCCACCTGGTCATTTTGTCTCCTTCCCTCCTCCTTCACTCCATCCTGAATACTCTGTTTCCTGTGTCTTCGCCTTCTTCACTCCTTCTCTGCCAGCTCCTTCTCGTGCTGCACGTAAGCATTCTTGTGCTGAAGAAACTTCCCCTTAACCCTGCTCTTTCTTACCAGCCTCTGCCCTGTCAAGAAGTCCTTGACAGGATGAGAAGGAGAAAGAGTTGTTCTATATTTGCTGTTTCCTCTTCCCCATCTCTCATTCATTCCTCAACCCACTGCAGTCTGGCTTCTGCCCCCAGCATAACCACTCAAATGCCTCGCTCCAAGGCCGGGAATCGCAAACTTGTGGCTAAATTCAATGTTGCCTTTGGGTTCCATCTTATTTGATATCAACGCAGCACTTTATGCCATTCCTCACTGCCTCGTTGAAATGCTCTCTGCCTTTGGCTTTTCCAGCAATGTCCTGGCTGATTCTATTCCTATCTCTCCTACTATTTCTTCTCAGCCTCCTTTGCAGGCTCATTTTCTTCACCTTACTCCTTTAAATGTTGATATACACCCCCCGGGATTCTTTCCTAGGGCCTCTGCTTCTTTCACTTTCTGTTCTCTTTGCAGCTGGTTCTTTCTACTCTCACAGCCCTAATTACCACCTAGAAGTAGATGGCTCCCAAGCTAGTCTTACTTCTGAAGTCTAAACCCATTAATCCAGCTGCATCCTGGACATTTCCACTCTGACATCCCATAGAGGACATCCCCGAAAATCAAGCTTAGTACAAATTCATCTTCTTCCCTCTTAAGCATGCGTCTCCAACATTCCCTGTTGCTATTCATGATACCACCATCCACCTGGTTGCCCAGGGATAATCAGAATTACCTTTGGCTCCTCCCAAGTCCTGGGAGTTCTGCCTTTCTTACCACTCCCTCCATTCCCTCCCAGCCCTTAACATTTAAGATCCTATCACTTCTTTTTTTTTCTTTTTTCTTTTTTTTTTTTTTTTGAGACAGAGTCTTGCTCCCTCGCCCAGGCTGGAGTGCAATGGCACAATCTCGGCTCACTGCAACCTTGGTCTCCGGGGTTCAAGTGATTCTCCTGCCTCAGCTTCCCAAGTAGCTGGGATTACAGGCACCCACCACCTCGCCCGGCTAATTTTTGTATTTTTATTAGAGACAGGGTTTCACCATATTGGCCAGGCTGGTCTTGAACTCCTGACCTCAAGTGATCCACCCACCTTGGCCTTCCAAAGTGCTGGGATTACAAGCATGAGCCACCACGCCCAGCCAAGATCCTGTCACTTCTTTCTTGGATTGATGGAAAGTCTATCCTTCTCACAACACAGCCAGAGTGGTCCTTCTCATTTTCAAATTGGATCTAGTACTACTTCCTGCTTTAAAACCATGCAGTGCATACACGTCCAATTTTTAAATATGTCATTCAAAGCCTGTTCTCTTCCACCAGGCTCAGGAACTTCGTCTGACTCTACTCCAGCATTGCCATGGTGCTCTCTGGCCATGTTGAACCACACCTGGCTCCCTAAGAATGTCATTCTCTCTCCACACGAGCTTTCTTACATGCTGCCCTCTTTGGATCACAGTTCCACCTCTTCTTCACCAGGCTATTGCCTTTTTTTTTTTTTTTTTTGAGATGGAGTCTCACTCTGTCACACAGGCTGGAGTGCAGTGAAGCGATCTTGGCTCACTTCAACCTTCGCCTAGCAGGCTCAAGCGATTCTCCTGCCTCAGCCTCCCAAGTAGCTGGGATTACAGGCATCCACCACGACGCCCGGCTAATTTTTTATATTTTTTGGTAGAGATGGGGTTTCACCATGTTGGCCAGGCTGGTCTCGAACTCCTGACCTCAGGTGATCCACCGGCCTTCGCCTCCACAGTGCTGGAATTACAGGTGTGAGCCACCGCACCCAGCCTATCATCTCCTATTTCTTTAAAAATAAGCTTAGGCCAGGGGCATCTCCCACTAGACCATGAGTTCCTTGATGGCAAGTATGATGGCTGTTGGCTGTAGAGGCTGAGTGACTAGCATCATGTCAATTAGTACTGAGTCTAGCACATATGGAGTCTCCTCAAGCATTTGTTGAAATAGTTCATTCATGTGGTCGGTTTCAGAGCTAGGGCCTGGCAGCATTGTGCAGGGGAAAACCCAGATGAAGAGACGGGAGACTTAGCTTCTGGTCAAAGGTCTCCCTCTAACTAGCCATGGAGCCTTGAGCAAGACACCTCACCTCTCTGGGCCTCAGTTTTCTCATCCGTAGAACAAGAGTATAGAATCAGATATTCTAAGTCTCTCCAGTTCACTAGGGTTGCCCCATCCCTCTTCAGAAGCCCTGTGGGCATGCTGTCATGGGCCAAGCCAGGTGCCCACAGCTTTGTGGTTCTATTTTTGTACCTGGCTCACAACTGGGGAAGGGAGGACAGAGGAACCCAGTGAGCATCTTTGGGGGCCAGTTTTATCAAATAGGAGCCATTCCAAAGGAAGAAGAATTAACCTGACCATGTTCGCAGTTTACAGGAGACGTATGAGGCCAAAAGAAACGAGTTCCTAGGGGAACTCCAGAAAAAAGAAGAGGAGATGAGACAGATGTTCGTCCAGAGAGTCAAAGAGAAAGAAGCAGAGCTCAAAGAGGCAGAGAAAGAGGTAAATGTGAGCCTGGTGATTATTAAAATGTCAAGAAACAACAGCTGCTGGTCAGGCTGTAGAAAAATAGGAACGCTTTTACACTGTTGGTGTGAATGTAGATTACTTCAACCATTGTGGAAGACAGTGTGGTGATTCCTCAAAGACCTAGAATCAGAAATACCATTCGACCCAGCAATCCTATAGATCATTTTATTATAAAGATACATGCACACATATATGTTCACTGCAATACTATTCACAATAGGAAAGACATGGACTCAAACCAAATGCCCATCAATGATAGACTGGGTAAAGAAAATGTGGTACATATACACCATGGAATACTATAGAGCCATGAAAAGGAACGAGAGGATGTTCTTTTTTTTTTTTTTGAGACGGAGTCTTGCTCTGTCGCCCAGGCTGGAGTGCAGTGGCACGATCTCGGCTCACTGCAAGCTCCGCCTCCCGGGTTT